TTATCTGCTGGTCTCCAACTAAAAATCAACCCAAAACCTCTACAAGGCCAGTCAATTTTACCTTTTTCTCAGCCACACGCTTCGATATACCTCAAAAAACAAACATATCTCACACTCCTAATGTTATAGCTTGCTCTGGTCTCAAAAGTCCGGCCACCCCTGTAATAAATTTCCTGGGACAACCTGTTATGGAGAGACTGAGCATCATCTTCACTGGGGAAATTGGACTATTACTGACAGGGGTCCTTGAGGACATCTTGAAACAAAATATTCTAGTAAGACCATAACCTTTGGCCAGCCTAGTAGGGAGAACATTTTTTGGAAAGATGGAGGTTTGTCTGGCCCTATAATTTCTGCACATAAAGGGAAATTAAAAGGACCTTGGCTTGTTAATCTTTGGAAGCTAAGTCTTCCCTTCTTCCCTCCTAGTATTAGCCACGGTGAGATTCATGTAAAGCAACATGCTAACCTAACTGGAACCTCCCTGTACAATAACTAATTCACATGGACCACTATTTGCGTCCCTTCTCCCTACGTTCTCTTTGCTACCTCCACCTTACAGATCCGACAACTAGGAAATAATTATAATATGTCTATCACTCAGGGTTGGTTTATGTCCTGCGTAAGTAATAATAACATCACCCAATTAAACATCTCCTCCTCGTTAGTACTTAGCACATCTCAACCTGGGTTCCTATTAATAGCTCTAAACCCTGTAGACATCCATCAGGACTAGGCTCGCTTTCCAAGCTTGTTCAGCACTGGTACTCTGCTGCAAGGCAAAAAAGATTTGTTAGCCCGTTAATCATGGGCATCCTTGCAGCAGTTGGTGTTATCGCCTCTGCTACTGTAGCTGAAATCAGCCTGCATCATACTATCCAGACAGCCCATGTCCTTAATAAATTTACGGTCAACACTACCAAAAAATTTATAACCCAAACTTCTATTGATAGACAAGTTTTGGCCCGCCTCAAAGCTCTTGAGGCTGCAGTGAAACTTTTGGAAAGAAACAGCAGGCCTTGTTCCTCCCCTCTAAACTGCCCTGTGACCCTAACTACCAGCATATCTGCATGACTGGAATTCCTTATAATCACTCCCAAGCTTGGGATGCTGTCCAGACACACCTTCACAGTGTCTTCTCTTCCCCTCTCTGAAGATATAGATTTAGATGTGACATTGCACCAACAGCTACAATATGCAGAGGATCGGCTTAAAAAATGAATGGACTGATTCCTGGGAAATGTGGCACGACCTAAAATCCTTTCTCACTTACAGCTAGCACCCATCTCAAATTCTGGATAACTTTGGGAAGCAAAATGCCTTTACTGTGTCTCTTTTTATGTCTTTGCAGAATCACCCTCCAAGCCATCCAAAAGCAAAAGAAGGACCAGGAACTCATCATGAAGGTCCTTGAACACGAAGCTAAAAACAAAAAACAAACAAACAAAACAAAATAAAAAGGGGGAACTGTGGGGGATAAGCTTAGGAATCCCCTGGGTTTACACCAATGGGTTAACAAGGCATAAAGAAATACAAAGTCGTAAAATGCTTACACCTGAGTTTGGGTAAACCAGATTGACACCCCAAGAATAGGGAGGCGCAAAGCTGCCAAGAATAGAGAGGTGCAAAGGCACCCCAAAATAGAGAGGGGGTGCAGAGCTCCCAGAATAGAGAGGGAGAGGCAAAGGCCTAAACTAGGAACCCCAGTACACAGGAATATGAAATAAACAAGATTAAGATGTTCAGGGTGAAAGCACCCCCAATTTAGTACTATGGCAGAAAAGCTGCTTTCACAGGAGGATAGGGCCAGGTTAGGGAACTTGGTGAATTGGACTATGGACCGCTTTGCTGCAGGCAAAGCAGCCCAGAGCAGAGAGGGTTAACAAAAGAAAAGGTGCCTTGTCAACCCTGAGGTTATTCCCCCTACCTGTCTCATCCCCTAGGCTAAGGGAAACAGGTCCAGAACCTCCTATCTGCCATTAACAGCCATCCACCCATCTGCCTGGCGCCCGGATTTTGTTTTATATTGACCCAAACCCCAAACACTGTATATCTTCAAAACCCCCTTTTCCCTCATGTCCCCAAGTTAATGTTCCCAGTTTCTTTGTCCCTTTGTACACGCCCATCACGTTTGTAAGCCTTCTGATCTGAATAAATACTGGGCAAGGACCCTCATTCGGGGCTCTTGTCTTTTCCCAGACATTAGCCATCTCTCGCTTTCAATCCTGCGTCCCGCTCTTTTGCTAGACGAGAGGGAACTTTAGACCCAGAGTCTACGATATCTTTCACTTAGCAATATGCTTTTATAAGTTTCCCCCTTCCATGTCTTTTCATGGCTTGGCTCTCATTTCTTTTTAGTGCTGAATAGTATTCCATTGTATGGACATACCACAGGTTATGTATCCATTCACCTACTGAGGGGCATCTTGGTTGCTTCCAAGTTTTAGCAATTATGAATAAAGCTGCTATAAACATTGTGTGTGTGTGTGTGTGTGTGTGTGTGTGTGGACAGAGTCTTCAGCTCATTTGGGCAAATACCAAATAACTGTTGGATCCTGTGGTAAGAGTATTTGTAGTTCTTTAAGAAACTGCCCAACTTTCTTCTCAAGTGGTGGTACCATTTTGCATTCCCACTAGTGGTGAAGGAGAGCTCCTGCTGCTCCATATCTTCATCAGCGTTTGGCGTTATCAGTGTTTTGGATTTGGCCATTCTAATGGGTGTGTAGTGGTATGTCATTGTTGTTTTACTTTGCAATTTCCTAATGACTATGATGTTGAACATCATTTCATATATTATTTACCATCTGTATACCTACTTTGTATATCTATGTCTGTTCAGATCATTTGAACCTTTTTTAATTGGATTGTTTTCTTCTTCCTTTTTGACCTCAATAAACACTTCCTCCTCGTCTTTTAGATCTTAACTGAATGATCCCTTTTCGTATCTCAGACTAGATTTAAAAAAACCTCAAAATCCTATGTACCTCTTTTTCTTCGCGGTTATCACAGTTGCAATTTTATACTATTTGCTCGATTATTTGAATACTCTCTGTTTCCCTGAATCTGTAAGAGCAGGCGCCGTGTCTGGCTTTGTTCCCTGGTTTAACAGTAGTGCCCAGCGCTGTGCCTAATGCATGGCAGGTACTGCGCAAATATTTGTGGAGTGAGGAATAAACCGATGACATCACGGAGAAAGGTGGAGAGGAGGAGGGATCATCTAAAGAAACAACGGAGAGTACAGAGCGAGTCCAGCGTTTCAAAGAGAGTGTATAACAGTGGGAGGGGGCAGAGGGCCAAATACAAATGCCAAAAAGCATAAACCTGCAAGACTGGTGTCAGGAATACTAATGCGTAAAACGAGCTGAGCCTTAAACCAATGGCTGAGGCCACAGAAAGACTGTTTTAGAAAATTATTTGGAACAAGAAAAATGACAAGGAAGAGCCAGGCCCCACACTTAGCGGAAAGGGCATAGTTTTTAATGCATAATGTTTTTCTCCCTCCAGAATAGTAACGCTCAAACCAGAAAGTATAAAAGGCAAATTCCAGGAGAAGAATATCAAGCCCAAGATCAGAGAAGAGGTGTGGGAACATCTGGCCACATTACATGAGCGGCGGCTTTGGATGAATCCCATCAGAGCTTGGAGATAAGATTACAGAGCCGCTGTCCATGAATTCTGAGAAATTTGGGAAAGGAGCCAATAGCCAGGGAAACATGAGATGTTTCTCAGTTTTCAAAAAAGGAAAAACATGTGCATTCGGGTAAGTTTAATTACTTCTGATTTCCAAACTTTACGTTGATTCATGGCACAAATATGTACTGGATGTGTGATGGGGTGTCTAGAAAGTGGAAGTTTAGATCCTTCTACCTCGATAAGCCACCATTTCAAAGTCACCAGCCAGGAGGGTGAAGGCAGCAAATCACCTTGGAGGAAGTCTTTGTTCCTAGAACAATCTCAAGAATGGGACCCTTCAGTTGTATAAACGTAGGCAGCCAGCACCATTATCCTGAGAACGTGATATAATTGAACGCTTTCCCCGGTAGTATGGCTTGACAGAGGCCATTCTCTTCCATGTTCCTTGGTATGAATAGCTGGTGGTCAGAAGCAATTGGACAAATTTATACAGGTGCAAGGAGCCTGGGAGAAAGAGGATCAGGACTGATGCCTTTGGGTTTGAGGCTAAGTACTACTGGATGTTCTCTAATGTGCTGAAATGGTCATACCTGACCAGAAGGCCCCAGAGCTGTCCACCATCCAGGAGACGACTAACCAGGGAGGGAGGGAAAGTGTCAAATGTTGACTTGATTGTTTTCCAGCATAGAGCATAGCTGTGGCTGACGCACCCTCCTGGCCCAGCTGCCCCAGCAGAGAGGATTTGGAGGAGGAGCCCAGTGTGGCGCGTTCTTGTGTAAGCATGACGCTGGGGAAGACTCATGATGGCCTGTGCCGAGGGCTAGACTGTCATCGTTCGTGCAGCAGGGGCTGGGTGGGGCCTTCTGTTTTTAACAGCGATATAGGTGATAGCGGCAGAAAGAGAGCCTGGTTCCCTCCGCCGAGCACTGCACTGACGGCACAACCGCGCACAGGCCGCAGGGAGAGAGAGATTTTTGTTTAGTTGGTACACTGGGTTGAACGGTGTTTCCCACCCCACTCCCTCATCCCCTGAACCCCCATCTATCTGAAACCTCAGAACGTGAACTTGTTTGGAAATAAGGTCGATGTAGATGTAACTAATGTGAGGTCATACTGGATTAGGGTAGGCCCTAAATCTAACACAACTGGTATTCTTCTAGGACGGGAGAAGGATGCACAGAGACACCCAGGGAAGAAGGCCAGGCGACCGCAGAGGCAGAAACTGTAGTAAGACAGCTACAAGCCAAGGAACGGCAAGGATTGCTGGGAAACACCAGAAACTGGGAGCGTTCGAACAGATCTTCCCACAGAGCCCCCAGGAGGAACCAATCCTGCCCACACCTTGATTTCAGACTTCTGGCCTCCTGAACTGTGAGAGGATACCTTTTTATTGTTTGAAGCCACCAAGTTTGTGGTGCTTTGTTATGGTAGTCCCAGAAACAAATTGATTTGGGCACGTGGGGATTCCAGAGATTAACCTGGAAAATAAATGAGGGGAATCTTATGTGAGTTCCAGTCTGGTAAAGCAAGTTATACTAGTTACAGGTTATCAAGCAGCTGTCTTATCTGCTAAGATGCGGAACTGACAGCACCTTAGAATATTTTTGCGTAGAAACGAGAGAGATGTGAGTTGGATGGTACTACAAGCATAAGGGGTTTTAGCCCGCTTAACACTCAGTTCAACCGATTGATTTATGCTGACCCACTGAAGATTGCATGCTTCCGGCCTGTATTGTCACTTGGACAGGACTTTGGATGTGTTCTTATCAAAGATGTAAGTGACACAAGGTCAGCGGGGGATAACATGACAGATGTCAGATCCCACATTCCAAATTAATCGTGTTAGCCAGAACGATGAGTGGAAAGTCCCAAGATGATATTTCATGGGGAAAAATGTAAAGCTAAGGTTCAAAAATCCACTGTGCAGGAATAAACTGTAGGAGACCTGGATTGAGAACAACCCATGTGGGAAAATTTCTGGAGATTTACAGTTGATCCCAGCTTAAAAGGAGACAGAGCTATGACCTGGTTACTCAAAAAGTTCGCACAATTTTAGACCACGTAGATATGGATGTACCAGTAACAACTCACTCAGTAATCAAGTTCCTTCCCAATGACCAAAATGATTTTCATATAAGTCATCCAAGCGTCTGCTGGGAAAACCAGATAATTGACGGCCGGCATTGAGACACAGAAGGAACGAGGTCCGAGAACCGGCCAGGAGAAGAAGGGTTTCCAAGGAAAACGCTTGGCATATATGAAATATAAAATGAGCAGCCTTGAGATCCCAGAGCGTTCTTTCCCAAGGATGCCCTTCTAGGCCGAGCAGTCACAGACGCTGAAGCAGATCAGGCAGGGGCTGTAGGCCTGGCACTGTGCTGCCTCAGCAAATAAACCAGCAGATGAACAACACGGTGTGAGCGGCAAGCAGTGTCTTGACCTGCCCAGACCCCTCCCCAGCACTCCCATTTCTGCCTTCGATCTCTTGCAAATGTCTCCTGTGTGCCGCTCCTCCCCGCCCCAGCCCCAGCTAATTTAGACATCCCATTAGGTCAATTAAGTCAGTGTCCCACTACACTCCCTTCTCTGGCCCAGAACCCAATCCGGGCTCCCCCACCGCACTTACCTGTCGTATCTCCTTAGTCTTCTCCAATCTGGGACAGTTGGTCAGTCTTCTAAAAGACTTCTCCAGAGTACATTGGTCATGCCAGAAAATGTCTAGAATGCTGAAGGTCTGGAAAGCGAAACTCGGAGCAAGTGTTGCCAGAACTGGAGCTGTCAGCTTTGAGGGAAGTCTGAAGGGGACACGTTAGTTGTCTTCAAAACCCTGAAGGAGCCTCATGCAGAAGATGGGAGTCTTCAGTATTGCCCCAGGGGATGGAAACGGAATCAAGAGATGGAATTATCATCAGGAACACTTCAGCCTGCTACTATGTAGAACATTCTATCAGAACTGACCAATCCTACGCTGGGCCTTGGCAGAACTGAGCAGGATCTGGGCCGGAGATAGACCTGAGTAACAAGAAGCCAGGTCGGGGAGTGGGGGCGGTGGCAGAGCAGGAATAACCATAGGGCAGCTGGCCAGTGCCCTCCTGCCAGAGGGATGTCAGACTCAGGGTGGAGAGCAGAGCAGACAAAGGCTTGACTGGCAGGTCTAATGGAGGTTAGCGGGACAACAGCAGGAACAGAGGGCGCTTCTTCTAACAGGTTTGCTGTCCCAGTCCACTATTAACAGGAACGTGAAGCATTACCCACAGCCCTCCCGGTGGACTGTCTGTCCAGTCTGCTCACTCTTGCAAGCTCTCTGCCTCTCCTGATGGGGAGGGTGTCCCTGGAGGGGCAGAAATTGTGTTCTTTGGTCTGGGAACTCTGAGTTGGTGCGGAAGCACAGGGACACCTCTTACAGGGTATCGAGGCGTGCTGGAAGCCGAAAAGGTGCCAGCTCCATGGCACAGACTCTAGTCTGGACAGTTCTGTGGCTTCTGGGCCAGGAGTCCTTCAAAGGATGTTAATCATACCTATTTGACATGCATATCATTGCTGAAAAATTAAGCCAACTAAATGGCAGCAGGGAAAAGCAACTAGCTGATGCATAAGTAAAGATCTTACTTACGTGTCTTTTTCAAAACCAGTCAATAGCTAAGATTTTCTGCCGGGTTAGCTCAGCAAACATTCAGTCCACCAACGTCCTCATGAGAAAGTAGCTAACAACTGTATCACAATTCAGCACTGTCAATGCCGTGGCCTTGTCCACCTAGCTGGCCACAGATCTATGGGTCTGTCTTGCCGTTCATCCATCTGTCATCTGTCCCTCCAGCCAACCATTTATGCCTTCATCCATCCAGCCAACATTTGTTTAACTTCTATTATGTGCCAGTTCTGTGTTGGACACTGTGTATGTGATAATGGGGGAAAAAATCTTTCCTGCTCTCAAGGAAGGGTAGGGGGGAAAGAGGTAACAAAACAACGAAACTGTCACTGGATGAAACACAGACTTAAGCTAAGAAAGTTTATATTTTCATTTAAAGCTTCCCAATTGAGCAATTTCTACAAATGATTCAAAGTCATCTGTAAGGAATAAGCAAAAGTTGTTTGAATTTCCACAGGCGGGTTCAGATTTTATGTGAATCATGAGAAATCCTTGGGATCAGAATCAGAGTCAATGGAATCCCATTTACTTACTAAATATGTAATTGAGAGGAAAGGGGATCAGCACCCCAATACCTCAATACCCCCTTTTCAGACTCAAGATTATGAGCGTGTCTCTGATGCGTTTACATGGTTCCCCCCTGAGGACTACTGGTGGGAAAGGCCACCAAAAGATGCCACTGAGGGGCACCGGGGTGGCTCAGTCAGTTAAGCATCCGACTTCGGCTCAAGTCATGATCTCACGGTTCATGGGTTCGAGCCCCACGTCGGGCTCTGTGCTGACAGGCTCGGAGCCTGGAGCCCGCTTCGGATTCTGTGTCTCCCCCTCTCTGTCCCTACCCCGCTCACACTCTATCTCTGTCTCTCAAATAAACATTAAAAAAATTAAAAAAAAAAAAAAAAAGAGCCGCCACCAGGAGGAAAGGGGACTGTGAAGAGGTGACTTGACTATCCCGTCCCAACCCAAGTACCCTAGCAGGGTGACCTGTGTGTGGGAGCCCATCTATGGCATTTTCCTGAGCTTGACACTGAGAGTATGGGAGCATTCCGCCTTGGAAAACCACCACGGCCTGTGCAAAGGTCTGAACTGTTGACGCCATTATATCCGCGAAGGGTGGGGCAGGGTACCGTCTGTGGTCAACGGTCAGTGCTCATGGTCACCAAAGGACCTGGGTTCCAGGCACTTCTCTGTTGCTCGCTGGCTGCCTGAGGTGGCTCACTTCCCCAGCCATAAACTGGGGACGTTACAACTCCCTTCTCACCAGGATTCTTCAGAGGTTTAACGGCAAAACGGAGTGGCTCAGTGGTCAGGCTGTGCGACTAGAACAGGGATGTGTTTCGGGAACCAGCCCTGCCAGCATTTTCACAGCCTTAGATGGGCAAGCAAGCATCACCTCCTACTAGTTTTCGCTTTGATCTTGAGTGAGAGAAACTGTTGACATGACCTGAAATCATTCGTTGTTTTGCCCTACTTTAAACCGTAATTTCTTTGCTCCTTTTTTTTTTTCCGTCCTAATGTCTCTAAGGCAAACTGTGCTGCAAACGAGGGTAACACAATGTACCTCACAGGATAATTGTAAAAATTAAACAAGGTATCAAGTGTCTACTTCTCCAAATGTCTAGCGCTAAGGCAGGACTGGCACAGGCTTTGCATCCGAAGCCTGTCTGCCCCCGTCCTGTCTTGCTCACATCCTCCGCCCTAGTGTGTGCTATGTGCCCTTTTGGGCTAATTCATTTCATTCTCACATTAGTCCTACGCGATCCACACAATTGCTATCCCCCTTTTACAGAAAGGAAACAAGAGCACAGAGAAGTTAAGGAACTCGGCCAGCACCGCACAGCTGGTCAACTGTAGAGCCGGGGTACAAATCCACACATTCCATTCCCAGAGCCCCTGCTTCTGAATGCTGCGCCGAGCTGCCTTGTTAGTGTGGTAGAGACACACATTCAGTCCCAACTCAGCTTGAAAGTGGCTAATGGTAATGAAACGAAGGTTACTTCTGATTTGTGCCAGACCTGGACCAAATGGAGCTTAGTTCCACCTGCTTTTCGCTGCCTTTTTAAATCATCACAACAATGTGTTCTAATCTGCTTGTCTGCCTCAATTTGTGTGTGCCGCTCACCTCATCGAGAGTAATTTGACCTTTTACACTTTAATAGTGCTAAGTGGTCACATGCGAGAGAGAGAGAGAGAGAGAGAGAGAGAGAAGTAGGGAGGGAGGGAGAAACAAGATTAACATAATACCATGTATCATAAATAGTAGCCTGGGTCCAGTTGGACATAAAAACTTGGGCCAAATGGGGTGGGGGTGGGGGGTGGGATCCTTTTTTGAGTAACATGTTTAGAAACTGACACTTTGCCTCTGAAAGGCACAGTGCAAAAAAAAAGAATTTTCCACATCAAAGAAGCCTGGGAATGGTAGACTGTAGCCCCAGATACACCATGATCAGTGTGAAACAGAAAGAGATGTCTGAGGTAGTTGGTACCAAGGTAGAGGATGTAAGGAAGAAAAGATAGATAAGCATCGCCTCAGAAACCCACGGTACTGGGAGATGTGCCCAGAAGCACATGGGAAGGGAGAGCCCAGGCCACGGATGCGGAGGTGGGTAGCATTTACTGGAAGGGGGCTCTGCCTGTCTCTTTGCCCTGGTGTCAGAGACAGGAGCACCCCAGTTTTCATATAAGTGGGGGTGAACTCTCCCACACTCATGCTTTGGGTTATGCCCCTTGGGTTATGCCAGGATGTAAAGATGAAGCAACCATCACACCCACCCTCAGGAAGTTTACCGTCTACTGGGTCAGACAGACCGGTGGGCGTGTGATGCCATGCTGTGTGATGATTGCTTTTATGGACTCGGGGAAAGAGGTGCAAAGAGAAAGCCAGTCCCCAGATGATGTCCGGGCTGCAGCTTGGAGAACAACGTGGTGATTTCCAGGTGGGTGGCACCGGAGGGTTGTCGTCCTAGCAGAGGACGCTGCATCTGCAAAGACCCTGGGATCTGAGAGTGTTTGGCCTGCTCTGAAAAGCACATTGTTGGACGTGACTGGAGAGGAGGGTCTGTGTGGGAACATCGTGATAGATGAGGTGGGAAGGGTGGCCAGAAGTCAGGTCACAGATATGGCCTTGAGTTTAGCCTGCAGGTGCCCCCCCACCTTGGATGGATTGCTAAGAACCTTGACCAGAGCGGACCTTACCCGCCTGCGTGCCATGGGCCCCTGGAGCAGGACTTTGCAGCACTTTTCAAACTATAGGTCATAAGCCATTAGTAGATAATGAAAGCAACTTCATGCTTTTAAACTATAATTTTTTTTAATTTTTTTTCAACGTTTTTTATTTATTTTTGGGACAGAGAGAGACAGAGCATGAACGGGGGAGGGGCAGAGAGAGAGGGAGACACAGAATCGGAAACAGGCTCCAGGCTCCGAGCCATCAGCCCAGAGCCTGATGCGGGGGGCTCGAACTCACGGACCGCGAGATCGTGACCTGGCTGAAGTCGGACGCTTAACCGACTGTGCCACCCAGGCGCCCTATAATTTTTAAAAAATAATAATGAAATAGACCAGAACAGTGCCTTTCGCATGATCTGTCATAGACAACCTGTTCTGTTTTCATTTTTGTTGTTGTTTTTTTTTTTTAAATTCCAATCTGTCACGGACTGATTCTTTTGTAAAATATAATAAAACAAATAAAAATCAATTACTAGAAAAGGGACCATGCTCTTGGATGTCACAGCGATGTCAAATTGCTATAAAAGTTTTTTTTTTTTAACACTCTTTAGTAGCTTCATTGAGATATAACTTACACAGCATTCAACCCACCATTTGAAGTGCACAGTTCAGTGGTTTTTAGCGTATTCACAGAGCTGTGCAACCATCCCTGCAGCCAATTTGGGGACATTTGCAGCAAGCCTGAAAGAAAGCTCCTACCATGAGCAATTAGTTAGTCCTCATTTCCCTCCAGCCTATCTCCCACAGCTCTAGGCAATCACTAATCTACTTTCTTTTCTTTTTTTTAATGTTTATTTATTTATTTTTGAGAGACAGAGAGTACAAGTGGGGAAGGGGCAGAGAGAGAGGGAGACACAGAATCCGAAGCAGGCTCTAGGCTCTGAGCTGTCAGCACAGAGCCCGACGCGGGACTCGAACTCACAAACTGCAAGATCATGACCTGAGCTGAAGTCGGACGCTTAACCGACTGAGACACCCAGGTGCCCTAATCTACTTTCTAACTTTATAGATTTGCTTATTCTGTACATGACACATAAATGGAATCAGACAGTATGTGATCTTTTGTGATTGGCTGCTTTTTTTTTTTTTCACATAATGTTTTCAAGGTATGTCCATGTTATAGCACGAATCAGGGCCACTATTCCTTTTATGACCAAACAA